TGGGAAGTGAGGAAAAATGAGCATTGTCTAATAGATTTTTGGATTACTAGAGCCTCTTCTTACTGGAGGGGCTGAGGAGTGCCCCACCTGGAGTTTAAAGGGGTTGGTGCTTCAGCAGGCTGTGATCTGCAATCCTTTGCCTTAAGATGAAATACCTTATTGCATCTGGGGTATCAGGTCCTAGGCTTTGTCCAGGGGCAGTCATGCTATAAATGGCCTGGTTTGCCACATCCCTAGCAAGATCTGTCTATTTGGGGGCCTTTGGGTATGTTGGTGTGCTGCTGGTCTCCAAGGAAGGCATCCAGGGAAGTGGTAAGGGCAGTGATGGGATACCTTTACTGGGGTCAAGATCTCTTGTGGCTAGTACTCACTTGTGAATGTCCTCATTGTGGACTGCTGCAACTACATTTTGGGTAGGGGCATTAAGCCCTTCCAAAACCAATTGTTTGATCAACATTTCCCTAGTGGGGCCTGGGTGTACTCTCCACTCCACTGCCTCATTTACACATGCCAGAAAATCAGTAAATAGTTCCCCTGGCTGTTGAATAAGATTGCAGAAGTGAGCTAAAGGGTCCCATGGGGTGCATGCCTTAAGAGCTTTGAAGGCCAGGTCAAAAACCTGCTGGTAGTAAGCTTTATGGCCAATCTGTGTTTGATGGATAGGATGGACAAAGTTACCTCATCCAGCTAGCATGTCAAGGATCACTGCAATGTTAATCAAGAGGTTTGTTCATAGTAGGACAGGCCTATAGAGTTGAGGAAATTGGCTCAAACCAGTAGCCAAGGCATTCACATAATGTACTTCCTAATGAGCCAACCTGGCATCTGCCTGAGGGCCTGAGTAACAGGTGCTGTCAGAGTTCCTGATCATGTGGAGTCTGCCTGAGGGCCTAGAAACAGGCACTGTCCTGATGATGCCCAGCTAAGGAAGGGTGACCACTTAATGTCACCATATTGCTATCAGAGTTCCTGTTCATGCACAGCCAATGAGGAATGACCAGGTAATGTCACCAGATCAAACAGCCTGTTTGCTAGGAGGAGGGACCCAGCAACACTTGAGCTTCTGCTTGATCATTGTAAGCCAATTTCCATCTAAGAAAGGCAACTGGCTCCAGCACAGCTTTGAGCAGACCATACCAAGCAAAGTGAGTCTGTAGTTGCATTGCCCATTGAGTGAGGACTTGTTTGAAGTAAGGTAAATCTGGGCCTGACTCAGACTTCATTCCAAGGGTACCACAGTGGAGGTGTAGCCTCCTACTGTGGGAGTGGGACTGACTGGGAATGGCACATATGGTCTTAACTGTGGCCGTGCACTCCTCAGGAGGTTTTGTGGGGCCTGAACTGTCTGCCTTCTCATCATTGGATATCATAGAGAGATCAGACATGGAAGTGGTGGAGGTGATGGAGAGGTTACTCATTTTGCAGAGGGAGACATCACGTGAGCAACAGTCAGAGAGAAGATGGCAGTCAACAGAGGTGGAAAATTGTGTTGGACCTTTATGTTTCATGCTTAATGGGGGACTTCTATGCTTTCCTATGCCACAGCTGTTATGCTCATGGTGTCTCCAGAAAGGGCCAGCATTCAGGAGCCGAACCTTGGGGGGGCGGGGAAGGGGGGTCAGCCTTTATGTGGAGGCACTAGGCGAACCAAAGCAGAAAAATGTGCCTTCCTGACTGGACAGGCAGACAAGCATGACAGAAAACACAAAAGAAGGAAAGAAAAGGGGGTCCCAACACTTACCTGCTGAAGGGACTCAAAACACAACATTGAAGAGTCTTCTCACCAAAACACACCATCTTGGAGGTGCTGTCCGGTACCATATGAGGCGAGGGAGATGACCAGAACCTGTTCAGGCACAAGATGTTGCTGGGTCCTAATGGCTCCCTCAGGGGAGGGGGTGAGAAGGTGTGGCGCAATGTCAATGGCACAGACACTGGGAGTCAGGTAAAAGGCAAACAGAAGACTCATTTACTCAGCAATGGGGAGAGCCTTATATATCCTCCTCCAAGCACCCAGGCTGCATCCTGATTCAATGACATTGCATAGTTGCCCCTCATTGGCTAGGCACAATCAGGACCTCTGACAGTGCCTGTTGCTAGACCCTCAGGCAGACTCCAGGTTGGCTCATCTCTTGGCCTCATAAGCCCTAGCTTCCTATATATATATCCCCAGGACTGACAACTATTTCATTGTAAATGCATACTAAGTGTTTTCTAGTGCCTTGTCATTCTAGCAGTGTGGGATCCAGTGGTGAGCCAGACTCAGATGCTCTCAGTGCATGTCACTCTAGAGATGTGGGATCCAGTGGTGAACCAGATTCAGATGGTCCCAGTGCATGTCACTCTAGAGATGTGGGATACAGTGGTGAGCCAGACTCAGATGCTCCCAGTGCATGTCACTCTAGAGATGTGGGATCCAGTGGTGAGCCAGACTCAGATGCTCCCAGTGCATGTCACTCTAGAGATGTGGGATACAGTGGTGAGCCACTCAGATGCTGCGCCTATGAGCATGAAAGCCAACAGAGAGAGCAGAACTCAGCAGCTATACCTTTGTTACCACTGTGCCCAAGATTTGTTTATAGCATTCAGCAATGATCCCACAAGGGCCACTGTTTTTGAACCATGTTTTGAGACATTTCTTAGCTACTTTTATGTCTTCTTTTGACAATTCTATTCAGATTCATAGCCCATTTTTATTTGGGTCATTTGTTTTCTTAACTGTTTATTTTTTTATTTCTTTACATACTCTAGATGCCAGACGTCTATGAGATGCATAGCTGAAAAAATTCTTTCCCACTCTGCAGGCTTACTCTTCACTCAATTGATTACTTTCTCATCTGTTCAAAAGCTTTTTAGTATTCTGAGGCCCCACTTTTCAGTGGTTGGAGTTGGTTTCTGAGAGATGGTGGTCCTTTTCCGGAAGTCCTTCCCACTCCTCTTTCATGTAGGGCACAGCCTGCTTTCTTCCAGCAGTTTCAGTGTTTCAGGTTTACATTGAGGTCTCTGATCCATTTGGAGTTGATTTTTGTACAGGGTGATAGATATTCATCTAATTACATTCTTCTATGTGTGGACTTCCAGTGTTCCTAGCACCATTAATCAAGATGCTGTTTTTCCAATGTATGTATTTAGCAGCTTTGTCAACTATTAAATGGCTTAAGCTATGTGCACTGATGTTTGGGTCTTCTATTCTGTTCCATTGGTCTACATGTCTGCTTTATGCCAATACCATGCTGTTTTTATTGCTATAGCTCTGTAATATATCTTGAAATCTGGAATGGTAATCCCTTCTGTTAGCTTAGAGATTGTTTGGCTGTACTTGGTCTTTTGTGGTTCCATATGAATTTTATGATTTTTTTCTATTTATGTGAAAAATATTATGGGAATTTAAAAATTGGAATTGCATTTAATCTGTATATAACTTTTGGTAGTATTGTCATTTGGGCACAATTAATTCTACTGAAACATGAACATGAGGATTTTTTCCATTTTAATGTATTCTTTTATCTATTTCTTCAAAAATTTAATGTTTTTATCATAGATATCTTTCACTTCTTTTGTTAGGGATATTCATTTGTGTGTGTGTGTATGTGTGTGTGTGTGTGTGCGCGCGCGCGCATGCGTGCACACGTGTGCATGCATGTATATGCATTATTGTAAATGGGAGTGTTCCTATGATCTCTTTCTCAACATGTTAATTTTTGGTATATAGAAAGGCTACTGATTTTTCAAGCTGATTTTGTGTTCTTCCAATTTGCTGATTTGCTGGTCACTTCTAGAAGTTTTCTTGTGGATTTTTGTGTATCTTCCTAGAAAGCCATGTAGGCTATGCAGCTAAGACAAGGCTTGAGAGTGGTACATGGTACAGGATGTTGAGTTTCCAGGGACTCACCAGGCTGGATCTGTGCACAGGTGTATAACCTGGGCTACATCTGGAGGCTGGATATGTTACAGGTAGGCTAGGGTCTGAGGGACTCACCTGACTGAGCTGACCTACAGGAGAGTAGATGGGGGAAACCCTGGGTGTTGGGAAGGGCTTGAGTAAAACTGATCATACTGGGATGGTACACAGAGTACTCAGTTTAGGCTAGCTATAGGGATTGAAAAGGTTTCAAGGGAGCTAGTGCTCAGTAAACTTACAAGACTGGACATGGCCAGGGTTGTAAGACCTGGGCAAGGACTGGAGGTTGGATTTGGCACAGACAATTGAAGTGGAGAACAAGGGGAATAAAGTAAAAGTAGCCTACTTGGGTCTGTGCCACGTGTGGTGGCTACAGAGTCCCTGGTAGTAAGTGGAATTGGAGTCAAGCAATATCCTAAGGAAGAGAGAGAGGGCCTCGGGGAAGGGGCCTGTCCCAACAAGCGGCTGGGTCTGGGACAACTGGGATGAAGGACAAAAGGAGGAACAGTAAGGGTAGCCTACCAAGATCTGTACCACTCACTTGAGGTGGCTACAGAGTTTTTGGTAACAAGGAGGGTTGGGAACAGGGAAGTCTCAAGAGAAAGGAGACAACTGACCAAAGTGACCAGAATGGGATGGAGGGAGAGAGGAGTGAAAGCATAGGTAGCCTACTTGGATTTATCTGTGGCTCTCACTTATAACTTTAAATTCTAGTACTCACAATTATCTCATTAGTGTGTGTATAAAAGTAATATTATGTGTCATAAATAAGCAACATTGAGTCAAATTAGTCTTGTGTTGCAAAAGCATCACTTCCCTTCACTGTTTCCTTCCATGGTCTAGAAAATAAAGAGCTGAAAGACTCAAAATTGTTCAGAGTAGAACAGTCACACTGTGTAGGTGTTGTCCATCTTTATTATGATGAATATGGAAAAATTCATAAACTTGAAAACATATGAAATAATACACTGTAAATAACAACAGCCAACATTTAAAAAGTATTTAATATTTGAAAACTATGTACATATTAAGTCATATCAAGGAAAGCCAAAGGCTATAAATGTAAGGTTATTAAGGAAACATTTTGGTCACTTATCAATCTCAATTCTGCATTTTTGAGCCTCTGGATTATACAGTGATTGGAAGTCAAGTGTACTAAAGCAAATTCTAGTGCCTTTTGGTCAGCAAGGACGAGTTATCCTTCACACTGATTTCTAGGAAACAAATGGGCTTACTTCTCAGATCACTGTATCATGAAGCAGGGATATCTCTACACCTGAAGCATTTGAACAGAAGGCCCTCCAGGCAGTTTCTGCATTCTCCTTGCTAGTGGAGCAAGAACCTATGTTTTCAGACGTGCCTTTGGAAATAATGGTAGTGGAGATTGTGGGTAGAAAGCCAATGGCATTAGACAGAGGGAAGTAAATGAAGTAGAAATGATGAAAGCAGAGGTTGAGACTATCAACCAGGTATTTGAAAAGGGTCAAATCACCAATATCATTTGCTGAGCATTGATAAACTGAAACAAAATAAAACAAAGCCATGCACTTCCAATTAAAATTCTATCCGCTGAAGATGTTATTTGATCCCTACTACTCTATGGGAACCCAATGGGACTTTCAAGGGCAAGAGACTTTACCCATAAATAAGATGATACCATTCTTCCTGATGACAAACAGAAAGGGATGGTCAGCTCTGAACACTATGGATTCAGGGAGCTGCTTTTCAACAATGTTATTTTCTGTGGCAGCAGTGGCCTCGGTGCCCTCCTCTGTGACCTCTATGAATGACTTGTGCATCAGCTTTGATACATAGAGACGGCCTCCAGAAGCAATTCCAGAGAGATCTGCTCTGGACTCATCAAAGATATCTTCCAACCCGAGGGATTTCAAATGGCGCCTCATTTCATAATTCTTCTCTATCTTGAACTGAGGAAGAAACACCTCCACATACTGAGATTTCATTTTCCTCCTATTGGTCCAGTTCATTAGATTCTGAAAGCTCAGCTTGCTTTCAATCTGTAGAAATTTTTTAAAAGTTTAGAAACATACTGTTAGAAAAAGGATGAAATAGGAACTACAGTAACACATGGTTTTCTGTAATGACACCCTTCTGGGTTTTTGTATTTAAGTACACGAATTAGATATGGACGGAATCTCAAAGAGAAAATGATTGAAAAGAATAGTTAAAAAAAAGAATAGTTCAAGCACTTTTAAATAAGTTGCCTGTTTAACTCATTGTGCCATGACAAGCGATGACTTACGTGTGATGTGTGAAATGTGATTTATGTGTGATGACATGTCTGATCTCTGCCCACAATGGAAAAAACAGAGGCAATATGGAATAATGGGGGAAAAAACAGAACCAAGAGGGGTATGTGCAGGGGTGAGAGGGGGGTTAGAGGAAGGAAAAGGAAAGGGGAAATGATGTAATTATACTCTACTCTCAAAAGTTTCAAAAATAATTAAAATTTATAAAAAGAAATATCTTTTAAAAATGGAATTAGAGTTAATATTTCTGTGAAGTATTTTAAAGTTACTATAATAAAATAGGAGTAGACATAAAAAAGAATATGGAAATGAGGGCTCATCAGAGAAAAACAGAGCTTAGCATTTTCCCATCATGAAAGACACAAAGTATAAATGTTTGAATAGCTTAAAAAATAAACCAGTGGAGGCTGGAGAGTTGGCTCAGCATTTTAATTCTCAGCACTCACATGTGGCTTACAACCATTTATAACTCCAGTGCAGGGAATCTGATGCCTTCCTTCGTGCTCCAAGGAAAACAGACCTGTGTTTGGTGCATAGACATGCATGCAGGCAAAACACCCACAGACAAAATAAAATTTAAAAATAAAATAATAAATAAACCTAGGTGGCCCAAGGCAAAAGATCCAGGATCCCAGCTCTGGGGAATGGGATGAAGATCTCTCCCTTCCTCATAAAGAAGCTTGGACTCACAGCTCCTACCCAACACACAAGAACTAGAAGCTCAGAGGACAACAGGAGCTGCACCTGGGTGCAAAGTGAGCCGTCTCTACTGTACTCCTGGAGTAAGCACTTCTCTCCAACATCATGGCCACTTCAAAAGGTTCACAAACAAACTGGCCTGCTTTATAATGGAACGATTTTCATAAATAGTAGAAATTCTACATATGGATATCTCTTAAATTCAGATGCCCTGGATTCTAAATAATTTTCAAATGCATCAAACTTATATTTTTATAAAAGACCTGAATTTACATAGTTCAATTTAGTTCATTGAAAATTTCTGTGTTTAAATAATCTAGTTTGTAAATGATCTATAACTTCTTATTCTGAATTTAAGTTTTTCTCCTTGATTCCTCACGATGTTACACACACACACACACACACACACACACACACACACACACACACATACACACACACATATATATCTCTAAGCGTATTCTGTGTACAATATTCCCTGTAGGAAAAGGACAATGGTAACTTACCTGGGATAGGTCATTCTTGGGCAGCATGATGTACATGCTTATGCCACCATGATATTGGAGCTCAAGAACCTGCATGGGTGGGTCCTGAACTGTAGACAAGTTGAACCTCCGTTCTTGATGCATCATAGCAACTGCTTTGTCAGGACACTGGAAGGCAGATAACAAGAGGTGTTTACAGTCCCATATTATCACACTCATTGGCCAAGTACACATAAAAATGTGGGTTTGGTCAATAGACCTTGGAGATTTTTCTGATATGTTGCAAGTGTTGGTTATAAGATGCATTCATCTTAATTATAAAGGTTGAGACTTTGAGTTAGTCCTTTAGTTGAAACATTTCTGCTAGGTAACTTTGGGTAAGGTACCTCACATTTCTACTTCCAGATCCTCATCTATATGACAGAAATGGCAACAATCTCCCCCCCCCCCACCACTGCACTGGGTAGTGAGGATTCTGTGGGTTAATAGAGCTACTAGGCAGAAAATTGCCTTATACTTTGTGTTTTAGCTGAAATGTCTCTACTAAATAATGAGTGATTATAAAATCTCAATAAATGAAGAGTGAATTTCTTAGCTTTATCCTCACATCAGAAACAAAATACAGACTAGACCTATCAAAATCATGTAATTTCAGAATGATGTCTTAGAGAAATTTAAAATTCCTGTAAAGTGGTAGATTATACCTCATTAACTTAAGGAACGTTTTAATTCTTATCTTGAAGATACCATTTATAGATTTAGAAATACCACACAGTTATAACAAGTTCTTTTTCCATTTGATATTAAAACAGACAAAATTGTCAACATTTCTGTAATATCCTTTTTTTAGGGCAGAATTTCCACATGGGAGGACAGTTAGTTCTGTGTCCTTGAACCAAAGTCTCTCCTTCTAGTTTGTTCTTTTGTGCTTCAAAAAGAGCACACAGGGAGCAACAAATAACACACGTACCCACACAAAGAAGTCAGAGTGGGCTTGTTGCAAGTAGGGACTAGGAAGGCTCAGCCACAGAATGCTGTTTCTATATGGACACAGCAAAGGAGTCGCGTATCTTCCAGGTATTTCACTAACTTTTGGGTTGTTTTTTATTTTTATTATGCATGTTCTACTATTCCTTGTGGTGATATTTTATTTGTGCTGAAATGCGATATTTTATTTGTATGTTAATAAATAAAGTTTGCCTGGAGATTAGAGGTCATAGCGAGCCATAAACAGAAGTCAGGTAGTGGTGGCACACACCCTTAATCTGATCACATGGCAAGCAGAGTCTCATGGCAAGCAGAGTCTCATGGCAAGCAGAGTCTCTGTGTGTTAAAAAAAAAAAAAAGACCCACATGACCCCTGTCCCTTTCCTTTTTAAAAATTCCTTCTTTAACTAACTTTTAAACTATCAGCACCAACTGTGACATTAGCAATCAAGACTTCAGAGCCTACCCTATTATAAAGCTGACACAAGGGTATGTGGACCAGCAGGAAAGCTTTTTAAAAAGAGGCTGTTATATGGTAATACATTCTTTAAATAGACTCCAAAGACAATCCAGTAGGCAGGAATGCTGTTTACTGTGCCCTTATTACTAAAAGGGAGGCAACCCATACAATCTGTGAGGTGAAAAGTGGATGGAAGAAATGCAGGACAAAATTTCACTTCAGAATCCTGACCACCTCAGCCACAGAAGCACTAACAAGACCTCTGGAATATGTTTTGTACTGCCAGTACAAGAGAGTCAAAGTCCAAGTTGTGTTTTACTACAATTTATTGAATTTTCTTGTTGTCCATGCACAATTTCCAGAGTGTTTCTGTGCTCATCTCTTTCTGCCTCACAGAGACACTTAAACCAGGGCCTTTCTCCATCAGCTTTGACTTCACATAGGGATTGGCCTGTAGGCACCGAAGGCAAGACACTGCTGCTGATGATCAGTACTTCCACTCCTAAGATTCTTGATGTATAAGGATGATTTCAGTCTGTTTTTGTTATATGTAACAAACAAAACTAAGGCTTAAATTTAAGTCTACTCACCACTGTTTCTCTGCATTTAACATAAAATACTGAGTGATTAAAATAAATTTTAGATATTATCTAACTTAATCACTTCAAGTTGTGGGGAGTCCAACAACATTAGACTTGTCCAAGACAATAATGCCACTTCTATAAAGCAAGAGATGGATCTTACCACATTGGACAATATGAAGAAAATTGTGCAAATACCACAATTCTGTCAAAGGGTTAATTGGGGGGAAATCCCTTAACAATATGTACATACCGTGGGAGACCTGAAATGGCAGTTGAGGGTCTCACTCTTGGTGAAGGCAGATTTCCATTTGCCTTTGAAGTAAACAGCATTCACCAGCACCATGACAGCCGATGAGCTGAGGCTGCTTCCACTTAACACCTTCTTGATTTTTCCTTTTGAAAATAAGTTGAAGGGAATAATGCTCATCTATACTGAAACAATTTTTAAATATGCTCACACATTGTTAATCGGTATGATTTTTTTCCTAGATCATTATTATACAACTAATTATGAAATTAGTACAAGCATATTAGTAAGGAATATGCCTGGTATTTTCTAAACCCTTTAAGGACAGTATTTGTTTAACCCTCATAAAGTCTTTATGAAATCTGTGCTGCTGTTGTTTCGGTTTCCTGTTAAGGGAACTGAAGCACAAAGACATTAGATTATCAATACAGTTACTTAACAAGAAAGCAACTGCAGTCATCACTGTGGCCCTGGAGACCACAGCACTGTGGACTCAGCCTCATACAGCTGTGAAATGGCCAATCCTGCAATGAAGAAATCAAGCCTTACAGAAGACACTCAAGCCAAGCCCAGGGAATTGCATTTCCAGAACAAAACAGAAACTTGGATATCAGAAAATATGATTGATAGCTATACTGAAAGAATATGGCCACACAAACAACAGATGAGAAGAAAGTTTGAGAAGTTCCTTGTAATAAACTTATAAAAACCTACTTTTTGATGTGGTAAAAGACCTCACAAGAAAAGGGAAACCTGAAGAGGTCCCCTGTTCTCAGCACTGCTTACAGAAAAACTTTCAAGTGACTCCAAAAATCACAATAAGTTTTCAAAAATATCATTCTCAGAAGAATGAAACCCTGATAGCCAGAGCAGGACTCACTGGCCAGCAACGACAGGGAAGTCTTGATGGATGGACTTCCCTGAAACACTATCGACTGCAGTGGCACTGGAAATGATGACTCATCATTTTAAATTCCTGACAACATCAGATGTCACAACTATGTGATGAATGGAAACAACTCAATGTTTCCCAGAAATAATCAATTATTATTATCAATCAATCAATTGTTGATCAGCGAAAGTGATAAGACCAACAATTGTGGAGATCTTAAGATTAAGGTGCTTGGTCACTTTATCTAGACCAATAAACCAATTTATCTATTTATGACATAGTTTTAAACACAAAATTGGCCCAGTCATGTGTGAGAGATAAAAATATATTACTGAAAGTAAAAATAAGTGGGAATGTCACTGAAGAAACAAAAAACAATGACAACATGACTCCTACCTGGCTTCCCGGGGCCACTGCGTGGCATTGACTGGACCCCTCTGAAACTGTGTCACTCCAAGTAGAATTAATTCCATTCCATTAAAATGGTTGATTCCTCCCAATTCACATTAATGAGACTTTTGTTAGTTATATCTTCTGGATGCTTAAATTGTAGCAATGAAAGCTGTAGTCTATGCCATCTTGGACCTCCCCCATAAAAAGAATTATTTGTCTATACAGTCATAATATTAGCTATAATATCTGTTGGCTTTCTAGGATTCATTGCTCAAGATTACCACATATTCACTGTGGATTTAGATGTAAACACCCAATTCTACTTACACTAGCCACAACAATTATTGCTATTTCAACAGGAATTAAATCACTTAGCTGGCTAGCCACATTACATGGAGGTAATATTATATAATCTTCTGTAACTCAAATTGCTAAATGGTCCTTTAATTAAAAAAAAACCCTGAAACCAGATATTGGGGTGAATGCTGAAAGATCAGAGAGACAAAGGAACAAGCCACCTCTTACCTCTAGGACTCCTCAGCCTGAAAAGCTTTCCTCAGCCAGAAGGCTTTCCTGTCTCCTCACATCTTATATACCTTTCTCTGCCCACCCATATCATTTCCTGTCCCAGCTTTCCTAGTACTAGGATTAAAGGCCTGTGACTCCCAAGTATTAGGATTAAAAGTGTGTGCCACCACTGCCTGACTCTGTTTTCCTCCTAGACTGAGTCAATCTCATGTAGTCCAGGGTGGCATTGAACTCACAGAGATCCAGAAGGATCTCTGTCTCCCAAGTGCTAGGATTAAAGGTATGTGCCACCACTGCCTGGCTTCTATGTTTAATCTAGTAGCTTGTTCTGTTTCCTGATCTTCAGGCAAGTTTATTAGGGTACACGATTTGATATATCACCACAATCTTCCACATCCAAGAAAGCCACTCTGGTATACAGTGTTGCAGCAACGTAGAAGTATGGTGTGCTAAAGGAGGACAGATCAGGAAAAATTGAATAGGGCTATCTGCTTAAGCTGCAAGAATTTAGGGAGCAGAAAGATGGTCCACAAAGCAGAGACTATTCAAAAATATAGGAATGTGGAAAAGAAAAATACATGTAAAGAAATGTGCCCCATTAGAGTATATCAACTAGATTGAGATTGGAAAGGTGTGAAGCAAGACCCAGAATATGAGAAAGTTTGATTCTTTGTAAGACTTTTGGATTATCCTGAATATGATAGAAATCGTTAATTGGGTTTCAATGTAAAAGGAAGGACAAAGTGATAAATGATCCAACTTGTCATTATAAAGTGTGACTATTGCATTGTATAAAGGAAGTGGGAAACAATACCTGGAGTAATGGAGACAATTTGAAGCACTGAGCATAGTCTTTTTAGATCATAAGTATAGTTTATGGATGCACATATTTGCATGTAAAAAGAAGGATGAGAAATATGTAAGTGTTGCACATGGGCTAATCAAATGTTCTTGAATATTGTTGTACAAAATGTCACTCTGTTATTCCAAAACCAAGTTATGTCATTTCTTTTGGTTGATAAGTATTATAAGTGTTACATTTGAGGCTTGTAATGGGTAGTGAGCAAATACATGGTAATTATGTAATGGTGAATGAACAAAGGAAATGGAGAAATCATTTTCTTCTTCCAAGGAGTACTTGCTGCTAAATGGAGTGTGAGTCATATGGCTCATAGTTCTGAGGTAAAGCAAAACACGAATACATAAATAATATTCACAGTACAAATCAGAATCCACCACTAGGTAATGGGCAATATTAACTTTGGAATCAGTTGATTAGCAACACAAAAGATTAATAGATTTTTATGTTTGTTTTGTGTTAGAGGAGAACATTGTCGAAAAGTCAGATTTTAGTTGTGAAAAGTAGCATAAAGAGTTGCAGTTCTCTGAAGGTACTGCCTTTGCCAAATATGTTATCTTGCTAAAGAGTATTTTAAAAATATTTAAATCAACCAAGCAAATAGTCTTAAATAACAGCAATAATTGCTTTGGATTAGGAAGGACTATATTTCATGTGCATAAAAATTCCCATCTTTTAAGTACGCTGATCCTAATATTTACATACAACTGACAAACAGTGTAGAAAATAAAGTATTTTACTTGCCATGTGTCTCATTTTCAATCCATTTATTAATTTTATATCTGGTTTCTTCTATATCATTTGTGAAGTCAACTCTGTCTACTTTGGCATCGTATAACTTTTCAGCACAGTCAATGTAATTCTGCAAATAAGAATATAGATTTTGTATTTGTAAATAGCACCCAAGTACAAAATAAATGTATTTTTTAAATTAATTCCAAACCTTTGAACAATGCCTCTTCCACTCTAGTGTTCCTTATTATCAGTAACTATCCCACTGGTATTCCAAGCATTACTTACTGTCTCTCCTTGAGAGACATCCTTCCCAGGTCCCTCCTGTGGTTCATAACCATGTCTTCACTTTCATTTTTCATTTTAAAGAAAAATGAGTGTTTGAACACCTAAGGTTTGAAATCAGGCAGGTACACAAATGATACTCTAGAGGAATTAAAAGGAATCTGGGGTGACAAGCGCGCATACTGTGAAGAGGGGAAAAAAACAGAAACTAGGAAAATGAGGTGTAAAACCTTTCCGGCTCTGTCTAGAGTTCGGGGCCTTCTCGTATGTATGGTAAGTGGCCTTGAAAGGCTTTTAGCTAGAAGGGAGATAATGGGACACTGAAATACTTGTGATGAGAAGGCAGGACTAAAGCCAAGGCAGTAAGCTTTAACCATCATCTCCCAACCCAGTCCAGACAAGGTAAAATCAATATTCAACATCAAGTTCAATACTAGCCTGTTGCTATAACTCTGGTCATATTTTCTCATTTTGGAGGCAGTGGAAATGAAGAATTAATTTAAAAAAATACACCTGTAGAGAGGACATTATGATAATTTCATACATATATTTAGCATATAATTACCAAATCCTGGTTATAAGTACCACTGTCTCTTCAAACATAATCACAGATATCATAATACATTTTGAGATATTCCATTTCCTCCATAAGACACCAAATTCTGTGAAGCTGAGACCACACATGCTTTGTTTATTACCTTTCCTAGCACAAAACACACTTACTTCTACCTAATGAGTGTTCAAAAGTACTTATTTTTAATGAAAAGAAAATAGTTACCCAATTTACCAGTATTATAGAAATATAGCAAACACATGCATAATTTTTTGGAACAAAAATTTTTGTATTTGTTAGAAAAATATTCAATACAACTTATATTGATCTACATTTACTAGTAATTATCTCAGCAAATTTTATGGAACTTTCTGTACTAATGGTGAGGATTGACTAGCAATCTCTTGTCTATCTACAGAATAAGATTATCTGCTTATGGATCAGACTCTTCATTTATTACTTAACTTCCATCTGCCCATCCATCCATCCATCTACCCTTCTACCTATCCACTCACAGATACTAATTACAAAGATTAAGTTTTAAAACTCCAATCACATTCAGAGAAGTTAATACCATAAACATAAGCTTTCAGAAAAAAGAAGACTAAGAGAGGCAGGGGCTGGAGAACTACATAGACACTACTGTAGTCTACCACTTCCAGGCAGCCCTGGAAGAGTTACAGGCTGTTAGGTGTTACATTTTTCTTTAAGTTCAATTAACATGTTGTACCAATCTTTTTTCAAGTGTACCGCATTTTAAAAAGAAAATATTAGTTGTCCAAACAAATTAATCTTTTTGTCCAGGTCCCAAACTCTTCTACATCTATCATTGTGAGCTAATGGTGTTATATTTGTCTGTGACACAAATCATTCCAGATTATTTCCTTTGTCTTGGAAACAGAAGCATCCCGTCCATTTCCCAGGGGAAACTTCCTGTCACTAACCTTTTCGGTGATGGCTGACTTCATGTGTTAACATGACAAACTTTACTTAGCCTATATCTGGGAGGGTGTGTGAAATTGAAGCATCAGACTGATGATAGAAGATGTCTGCCCCATTGCAGGTGGCCTCCTCCAACCAGCTCCCATCAGTGAAAGCACAGGTAGGAGCAACGTGAAAGGGGATTATGCAGCTTGCCTGCTGCAGCTGGAACAATGACAATTTGACCTTCGGTCAACAACTAAAACATGGACTTTTCTTGAGTCTCGACACTGACAACTTTTTACCTAGGGCCTCTAGGCCATCTGACTTGCCAATTGTAGCTTTTAGGACTTCTCTGCCTCCACAGACAAATGAGTCAAGTCCTTATAGCAAATCTCTCTATAGACTGTTATTTCTGTCCTCTAGAGAACCCTGGCTGAAGAACTCACTAGAATGACATTCACATATTTTCTCCTTGTCTTTCCCAACTCCTCTGTCACATTCTTTCCAGAGACAACAGAATTCCCACACTTCCTATTATCCAAAAAAAATAAGAAAATCTGGTCATAAACTTTCTTTTATTTTCTATTTCCTTGATTAAGGTTTTATAGTTTTCCATATACAGACTGTGGTAGTTTGAATAAGAATGGCACCCAGAGGTCCATATGTTTGAATGCTTAGTCATTTGGGCATGGCACTACTTGGGAAGGATTAGGAGGTGTGGCCTTGTTGAGGAAGTATGGTTGCTAGGGTGGGCTTTGAGGTTTTAGAAGCCCAAGGTAGGCACAGTGACTATCTGTTCCTGCTTCCTTTGGATCTGGATGTAGAACTCCCAGCTTCTTCTCCAGCACCATGTCTACCTGCATGACACCATGTTCCCTGTCATGATGACAATGGACTAGAACTCTGAAGCTGAAACCTCTGAAACTGTAATCAAGCACCCAATCAAATGTTTTCTCACTATAATTGCCTTGGTCATGGTGTCTCTTCACAAAAATGGAATACTAATGCAGAGATCAAGGATAATACTTATTCCTAAATGTTACATTTGGTAACTATTTATAAATGGGACTGTTTTGAGGATTCCTTTTCCAGATAGTTGTGGGTAGTGTTTAGGAATGCTACTTTTGGTAAGTTAACTTTCAAAACTGTAATTTTACTTATTGTGTTTAGGAGTTCTAATAGATTTTGATGGAGCCTTTAGAGATAGATAGCTAGATGACAAATAGATAAATAGATATTACATATATAGTTGATAGATAATTGATAGATAATACATAGATTATACATTGATTGATGATAGATAGATAGATAAGATAGATAGATGATAGATAGATAGATAGATAGATAGATAGATAGATAGATAGATGATTGATATATAGACATGATAGATCACCATCCTTTTGGACAGTTCAGCTTCCTTTCTTATTTGAATATCTTTTATATCTTTTTCTCATTTAGACTTTTATTTCTGTATTTAATATGTTAAATGTAAGTGACGAGAGTGGCCATCATTGTCTTGTTATTGATTTCAGACAACGTTCTTTCAATTTTCTTTGAGTATATTTATTTGTGACAATAATGTACATCCTATCTCTCCATAATTCACTGAGAATTCTTACTGTGCACATTTAGTTTTTTGAATACTTTTTCTGCACATATTGAGGTGATCATATGTTTTTAACCCTTCATCTCACCCATGTGACATATTATATTTATCGATTTCCATGTTCTGAACCATCTTTATATCCCAGATCTAAATCCTACTTGGCCATGGTAAATGATTCTTTTAATATGCTGCTGAATTTTATTCTCTAATAGTTTATTACAGAATTTTAGAGTCCATATTCTAAAGGACTCTTGGGCTTTAATTTTGTTTTTTATCAGGGTTCTTGTGCAGCATGGCAGTGCTCTTACGCAGCATGGCAGTGCTGTTGTGCAGCATGGCAGTGCTCTTACACAGCATGGCGGTGTTATTGTGCAGCATGGTAGTGCTGTTGTACAGCATGACGGTGTTGTGCAGGTTCTGTTGTACAGCATGGCGGCGCTGTTGTGTAGCATGGCGGCACTGTTGTGTAGCACGGAGGTGCTGTTGTGCAGCGTGGTGGTGTTGTTGTGTAGCATGGCGGTGCTGTTGTGTAGCATGGCAGTGCTGGCCTTCTAACACAAGTTTGGAAGTGTTTATTCTTCAGGATTTTTGGAAGAGTTTCATGAGATTGACAGTCCTGTAATTATCTGGTGACTTCAGGATTCCCGAGTTTTCCTTGGAAAAGAGACTTTTTATTTACAAATCAATATTATTCATTGCAATTCTGTTCAAGTTTCCTGTTCTTTTGATTCAGCATATATAAGTTGTATGTTTCCAAACACTTTCTCACTTTTCTAGTTTAACCCTCTCTTGGCATGTAACTGTTCATGAAGGTCTCAACACCATTGGGGTTCCTGCAACGTTCGGTGCACTGTCTTCTTCACGTCTGGTATCGGGTCTGCTTTTCTCACTGATCTAGTTAAACATTTGTCAAATTTGCTTTTCACTACCAAAAAAAACCCCTGATCGTCAGCTCACAGTTGTTTGCAATTGTTCTTCTTTCGTCTGTTTAATTTCTATATGCTGTAATATTCTTGCTTACCTCCTTCTGTACATGCTTAGTCTGTTCATCTTTTTCTAATTTATTTAGATTTAATATCTGGTTTGATTTCTTTCCTTTTTTAAAGTAGGTATTTGTTGCTACAAATTTATTTCTTAAATTTTTCTTCTTGTAGCCCATAAGCTTTAGTGTATTGCATTTTTTCATTTGTCTCAACGTATTTTTAATTTCTTTCTTTACTTCTTGGTTTGGGGGAAAACGTTTGTTATATCTGGAGCTATTTTAGATTTGAATTTTCTTTTTACAATTTCACATGTATATACAATATGTTGTGACAATATTCACTTAATTACCCTCTTGTATCTCTCTCACTCCCTCTGAGCCCCATATCCTTCCCAATCTCTTTCTTCTTAGTTTTATTTTTTTGTCCTCCTATTTTTTTTTAAATTAGGGTGACAAGTAGGAAGAAGACTTAACAGAACACATTTAGTGATGGAATATAAATGTGGGGGAAACGAAGCATCAAAGATGACCTAATGCCTATTGGTATTGCTCATTGCAAGAGAGCAAAGAAGAAGAGAGCGTCTAGAAGCATAAAGCATGATGCTCACTTGGGGGATTACACTGTGTAAAGTAGAGCTTGGCACTGAGAGGAAGGATGATCCATCACACAGCTATAGAAAAAACACAAAGATTTGAAAGACTACATTGGGGACATAGAAACTACATGAGTACACCACTTCTCTCTGTATAAAGATAGTAGATTAAAAATAAGTGCAATAAAATTAGAAATCTCAACAACTTCAATTTCAAGGATCATTGAAAATAATGATATACAAGAAGACGAATGTAAAGCAATCTGAAAGAATGAAAAATCAGAAGAAAGCATCTATTTCAATAAAAAAAAATATGGAAGGGGAAAGTTCTAGGAAGTGTACTAACAATTCAGAATAGATCACATGTGAAGGCCTAGCTGAGACAGGAGACTGGTGCTGCAGTGACCATTGGTGTTTAACGACTGTACATTTAAAGTCCTCTATAGTTATCATTTAGTAGTGTTGGCACGGTCACTGAGGAAGTCTGCAGCAGTGGTCTGGTTTTACGAGACTGCTTGGAGAAGATGACATTATTTAAAGATTGGTTCAAGAAAAGATCCACGAGGAGTGAGTTATAACAATGAATACATTTGAGAAAGGGGAAAAGTCAAATGATTGAATTAGAAGAATAAGAAGCATGGAATTCTGCAATCATAAGATAGCAACCTGATATTATAAATTTTAGAAGGGAGATAGCTTTGAATGTTCTTGAGTTTCAAGTATGATTTGGTGATCAAATTACTAAAACAGCATGGAGAGAAGGTTGAGAACCTATACAGAGACATGTGGGAAGATCATCAACTGGGGTAGAAGGTCCCAATCCACAGTAATACTGAAGATATCCAAATCACAGCATACTTGAGGGAATGTGGAATATCGTTTACAGACATCTGACCCAAAACATAGGAAAAATTAGGAAGGCAAAGAATCCGCGTAATGATTTGATATTTTAAAATTCCACATTCTTTATACAGATAATTTTTATTTTTATTACCAGATAAATATTTTATCCATATTCAAATGTCAATAAAAAGAATATTAATAAAACAAAAATTTAGAAATTTTCTATCTTTGGAGCTGATAATTAAATTTGTTATTTTTTTAAAGATTTATTTATTTATTATGTATGCAGTGTTCTGTCTGCATATACACCTGCAGGCCAAAAGAGGGCACCAGATCTCATTACAGATGGCTGTGAGCCACCATGTGGTTGCTGGGAATTGAACTCAGGACCTCTGGAAGAACAGCCAGTGTTCTTAACCGCTGAGCCATCTCTCCAGCCCCCTAAATTTGTTATTTTTAAGTTCAAAAATATTTTTCAGAATCACTGAATGTGGGGGCTGGATCAATGGCTCAGAGTTCAAGATTATTTGTTGGTGCTCTTCCAGAGAACTCAAGTTCAGTTCCTAACACCCATGTTGAGTGAACTATAACCCTGTAACTACAGCTCTAAGGGGTCCCATGTTCTCTTCTGGCCTCCTTGGGCAATTGCACTCATGTGCACATAGCTCCAGAAAGATCCACAGGTACAGACATCATTAAGAAGAAAGGAGAAAGTAAGAATAACCAACTATGCTTAGATGTTTGAGAGGACAAATAATACCAAAGTTTCTTGATAAAGACTCAAGGAATCATATTACTTTGTATTTACCTAAAATTATACACAATATGTGTATAATATATGCATATATATTTATATATTAAAGGTGGTTAAGTCACTTGAGTTGACAATGCTCCCCACAAAAGCTATGAACTAACAAAAATCCCAGTACCGGGCATGAGAAACCACCTTTTGAATGGCTGGTCACAACAGTCCAAGTGACTCCTAAAATAATATAAACTATTGATGTAGTCCTTGCTTGTCTTTCAGGGGTTGAGGGTGGGTTGCTATTGCTGAAGACACCCCAAACTTAGGACACAGGACTCAGATGATTTAAGCTAGATCGTAATGGAAAGCCTCTTTCCTACAGTCTAACTTTCATCAATCCAGAAATACTATGCAAGTTGCCAAAGGAAGGGAAAAAAATTAAACAGTCTGACAAGGCTGCAACAACTATGAACGAAGCTAGTGACCAGCAAGGCAACAAAGGTGCAATACGTGACACTCACACGCTGATGGCAGCCAAGAGCTTCCTACTTAGACTTAATTACCCCTCAGCAGGAGTGAAATCATGCCCACTAGTGAAAACATAGCCAGCTTCCCAGGGCTAGTGAGTTCATTGACATTAGAAAAGAATCTATTACCACTGCTTTGCTAGACCAGCATAATTCCAAACTACATTGTCAACATTATCCTTACACCCACAATAAGTGTAACTACCAACCCTCATCAAAATTATTCCGAACTACATTATAAACATTATCCTTATACATACAGTAAGTGTAACTGCCAACCCTCATCAAAATAATTCCAAACTACATTATAAACATTATCCTTATACATACAGTAAGTGTAACTACCAACCCTCATCAAAATAATTCCAAACTACATTATAAACATTATCCTTATACATACAATAAGTCTAACTACCAACCCTCATCAAAATAATTCCAAACTACATTATAAACATTATCCTTATACATACAGTAAGTGTAACTACCAACTATCATCAAGAAGCTTTTCTTTACAGCAAATGAAGACCATCACAGAAACTACTGGATTAATACAGAGCTCAACAGATCATGGAAGCCCTGGCCCAAGAGAAACATCTATGTAACAGCTCCTATATCTATGGCTTAAGGAACATCTAGAAAAAATGGGTGGAAGGACTGTAAGAGCCAAAATACCAAGAAGTATTTTGTGAAATAGTCTCTTTTAGAAATGACTACATAAAAAGATTGGAACAATGGCAATATTAATGGGTATGTTAACTTGGAAAGGGGGAAATTCTGAAGGTTCTCATCCCTAGACAAAGAACTGTAAGCAATTAATGGTTTCTGAGGGGAGGAAAATGAGCCTCTCCCACAGATTATCCCTCTTATTGGTTGTCCAATGCAGAGGTCAGCCCTGAAACCATGTACACACAGACAACATACATGTTTATGTGTACCCATGTAACTATAACAATCAAAGAGAAAGAGGCTATCAACTCGAGAGCAGGGAAGATGGAAGCGAGTTGCAGGGAGGGGACCTGGGAGGGGCCAAATGGAGGAAACTGAGGGAGGCATGTGACATAATTATATTTTGATTGAAAAGAGTTATCTCTTTGTTTTCCATGTTCTTGATCAAATCTTGCCTTTACTGTGCTTCCTGTACTTCTTACTGCAGTGTGTTTTCATTCCATGAGTGTCAGGAAAAGGAAGAACATGAGGATCTGCTGTATATAACAGCACAGTAGACAAACCAGCTCCAAATTTAATGATTTAGCATTCCCCTAGGAATAAGTTAGCAATTTGTGTGAGAATAGGAAAATTAAATATGATACACACAGAATGTCTCTCTTAAAACTTCATAAAAAAAAAAACTCTTCAGATGGTGGCAAAACAAAAAGTGGCCTAATACTTCCTCATTGGCAGGATCCCAAAGGATGTGGGAGCGGTGCTGGGGCGGGGCAAAGAATTTGAGTGGGTGACAATTGGACGGGACAGTAATGATTGGGTGGAACACAGAGAGTTGGCAAAGATGCAGGTGATTAGCCTGGTGATGTCACTAACAGGGTTTTATGGATGGTTGTTTGAGGAGTGGATAAGTAGAAGGGGGATAAAGTCCCAGAGAAATACAGACACGTGGTTGCTTAGTAGTCCTAACCAAGTGGCCAGCTTCTGGTGGTCGCTCTACGAAGGCTTCAAAGCGGCATGAGTGCAGTAGCTTAGAGAACGCAGTCTGGACCTCTTGGCCTTCAGTAAGCAGGATGCTGTGATGGTGCGCTGATTACCAATGTCATTCAGAAATATTAGTCAACTGACCTATTTCTAACTCTTGTTGAGTCTGAGCTTCTCCTCTGTCCAGTCTGTAAAGGCTGCCTCATCTGGCTACACCTCCTTGGGAGGAACTCTTGTACAATCTCATTGAGAACAAACAACTAGAAGGAAAAATGAGGAGCATAGCTGAAAAAAATGGTGAGGAGAGACACCTCACTGGGAATGATGCATTGTCTCAAGTGGTTCTTCTCTGAGGCCGTGGACTCCCCCATATATCTCCCCATAGCACTTCTCATTACCACTCAACATCACTGCTACTGCCAATGGCCTCTGTATCTGAAGTCCATCAGTTGGGCTACCCTGAGTATGTGGGTACACTAGATTGAAAGGTAATATTTTGAAGACCACAGTAGTAGCAAAATAAATAAATAAATAAATAAGCTTTTTTTCCTGTCTCATAGGGAGGTAGAAGGCATTATTCATATAGTAGATGGAACAAGATTCAGGTCTAGAGTGGATGCAACCTTCTGAGACAAGCAGTTTTACCCACCTTATGAAAGTCAAACACTTTTTCTGCAAAAAGCCCATTGGCAATGCTGAGTTCATAATCCTTATGAGATGAGTTTATGTCAGCAAGAACGCTTTTCAATTGATGCTGCAGTCCTGGCTGTTATCAAACAGAGGGACAGAAATTTAATCTCATACTGCAAAGATGCATAATGTCACTTAGACATGAAATAAATCACGTGTATTATTCTATGTAAGAATGGGAAAATATTGCTACAGAAGCAGCAAGCAAAACTTCACACATCTCAGTGCCTTTACCCTTCCTCATCTGCGATCAAACTGAAAAATTTAGTGCAATAAAGTTATCAATAAGAAACTATGAATTAGCTCAAGATCCATATTAGTTAATTAATTAGCTAATGATTGGCTCTATTCATTTATTAATTAATTAAATTAATTAATTTGCCAATGTCACTTAACTTTAAGGACAGAAGATAAAGGCTGATCATCAGTATTTTACTACAATCTGGTAAGCAAAAAAAAATGGTAATTTAATAATTAAATTATCAAAATTGTATTTGATAATTTATATAATTTTATTTGAAATTTGGGAGTCTATAATGGATTTCTTTGTTTGAATGAGATAGAAAGCACTAAAACATATTCAAAAGATAGGGTTTTTCTTCAATTTAATTTCTAATTGGCTTTTTCTTTAAGGAACATGTCCTCTTTACCTGGTTGTTAGAGGAGTCTCCTTGTCTTGACGGGGTATTAAAGTAAAGTGCCTGCAAACATGATACAAAATGTTGTCAGAATTAGGACATGTGGAGGGATCAGTTAGCAAGAGGTTTTGAAATAAAAACTTATTAAAAATGCTCATCAGGTATCCCTTCAATTTCACCAGTGTCTGAGAGCCTACTCTTCTCATGACTCCACATGAACGTCAATGGCTGAGGCAGAGAAATGGCTTCTAGTTTTCATCTTTATGGCCTTTTCTTCCTGCTCCACACACTAACTTACTTAGGGATTTGTATTAATTCAGTAAAAAGCACAGTGATGTTGTTTCCCACAAATATGTTCATTGGCATTCAGTGCACATGGGCATTACCATATTTTGTCTTAAAAGTCCCCAGAGTTCATGTGTTGCAGTCTTAGTCTCCAGTGCTTTGATCTGAGGCGGAAATTTCGAAAGGGGTTGAAGTATTAGAGGGCTGACCTTCCTCAGTGGCATACCTAGTTCTGGATTCCTGGTTTCGTGGATTCTTGGGAAAGGAAATTGTTGCAAGAGACTGCTTTCTCAGTTTGGTCTCTTGCTGCAGTGAGGTGAGTGACAGCCGATCAACCATGGGTGGAAATCTCTGAAACTGTGAGCCTAAATATGCCCTGCTTCCTAAAGGTCAGTGTTTTCTGGTATCTTGTCACAGCAACAGAAAGTTACTGACACAGGTGCACAGAGTGAAACTCAATAGTTTTCAATGCATTCCACTGAAGCACTACCCCGGTGCTCACTACAAGAATCGCACAATACAAAATACGCTTTTCTGGGACCCGTGGAACACCTAAGCCTTACTTTGGAATAGCATGGGGGCTCATTGGAGCATTTGGGTCAGTGCTCATTAGCTCACCATTCATGAGTTTGTGTAATATTTCTTTAAATCTGGCCTATCAGTTTCTGGCTTCCCTCCCCTTTTTTAAAACGAATTTTGGAACCATGAAATCCATTAGCATTTTCTATCAACTGTAATCTCTGTCTTCAAATTTCACTTTATAAAGCAATATTAAATTTTATTTTAATTTTCCATGTCCCCAAAGTATCATCACCAATTGAACATTGAATCATTCCTTCCCCTCATCATTTTCTGCTCCCTGTCTTATGAGATTCTCAACATATAGACTTTCTCCCAATTCTCAAGTTATTAGTATTACTAAACTTAAAATTACTTAAATATATGCCTTGTTTTACCTAATAAGTTTCTCTTCAGTGCAGAAACCCAGTTTTGGACTCACATTTTTTTTATTCTTCATAGCTATATGTTCTCTTGCACCATGCATGTACTACAAAGATTTATTTCAGGTTTTCCTTTGTGTTGACCAAGTTTAATAATGCATTTTACATCAAATGTGATTCTGATTTGATAAAGAACATTTTTGATGGATAGAGGATTACTTTGTGACAGTATACTTGTGGTTATGACTGCTTCATCTACAAAGCTTGTATTAAAGCCCATCATTCCTACTGCCCCCATTCTCCCCACAACTTGCCTTCTGGGTTATTATGGAATTTTGACTAGGACACATTTTGGTAGCTTCTGGCAGAAGAAGGGGAGTCTCAGACTTTCTCCCTATAATTCAAGATTATGTCTACAGAATTTTATAAATTTCTTATATGTCTCAAGTTTGGAAATTTTAATATCAAGTGAATTTATTTGTAATAAAACTATGTTGAACTTATAAATGAACAAAACTGGAAAGATTAATATCTTCTGCCCAGTTAAAAGTTTGTTATGATGTCAATTTTTAAAAACTGCTGTAGATTACAATGTACTTTTGATCATCTTTAAATCCTCACAAAGAGAAATTTGTTTCAATGGTGAGTAATCATACATCATGTGCTCAGTTGTAAAGGATTCTCAGTGTTTACTAAAGCCTGTGGGGCCTGTGAGTCACAGATCCCTGGATGATTCTCATTCAGCAGTTAGTTCTTAGGGCTTTCTTGTCTTAAATCTATAGGTTTGATAAGCTGCTATGGTGAGTGCTTGACTCTCAAGGGATAGACCATAGAAGTCTATCAGAAAGTGTTTGTCTCCACTGGTGCTAAGTAGAAAGGATCTAGTAAACAAAAGCAACACAAGTTATTGATGTGATGAATATGTTAGTTTGATAATCTTTCTATAATATACACATAGATATATATCGCATTGTGCTTCATGAATGTGTGTGTGTGTGTGTGTGTGTGAGACTATTGTTTCTTGGTAAAATTTTTACTTTAAAGTTGAATTATTATTATTATTAATTACTTTACCAAAGAGCAATCCTGATGAGATAAAACACTAAACTGAGACTTACTTTCTGTGTTTGTCAGCTCACAGGACAGGGAGAGCTGTAGTGTTGGGTTGGGTAAGATACAGACTGCTCATTGGGATACGTACCATGAACTGAAATTAGAGTTAACTTCAGTGAAAGCAAGATGAAAGAAGCTTTAAACTATTTTTGTACTTTCTAGAAAAACATCTTAATAGTTAACTATTCAACTTATATAAATACTGAAAATAATAAAAAAATACCTGAAAAATATATTTATTCAAGTAGGGAACAGGGATAGCATTAATTATCTAGGCATTATTACATGAAAGTGAGAAACAGCCATTGAATATCTAAGAAACATTAAATCTGAAATTCAATCATAATTTGAGTGATAGTTTATGATCTTACAATTGTTTGAACTTAATCAGGATTACATTTCTTTTCTTTCCCAGTGTGGCTCTCACTCAGCTTTTTAACAACTGTACCCAAGTCTTTATAGCTTCAGGTCTAGACATCCCAAATGCAAAATATTCCCTCTTCTCAGAAGTGGGACAATGTCCTGCTCACATGGTAACTGGTTATGGAACTGTGGATGGACAGCACAGAGGCAGCTTTGGACTCATTTGACTTCTGCTCTTTCAATAGTTAATATGAAAGTTAGATAACAGCTAGGACATGGTGGATCATTTCTACAGACTCAGCTCATGACTCCTGGACTCTTGACTGTGTTTCCATAAGAAACAACAACAAAAGTCCATGTTTCTCAGGCTGGGGAGGGCTCTTCTGAAGATGGAGAGGGAAATTTGACTAAAACAGCCAGTGTTAGTCAGTGTCTCGGGGAAGCTTTCATCATCAGACTCCTAATTAACCTACTGACCAGGTGAAAGTGGTACAATTCAGAAAAAAGGATAAAGCCTTAGAAAGACTCTAGCAACCTTCATTGTAACAGGCTATAGACAATTGGAACCTGCTCTTAATCTGGAATGGTAATGTGAGATATGTTGTAGATAGAGCAAAATCAACAAATCAGGTTTGGTACACAGATCAATAGCTATTTCAAGTTTGCAAGTTGTGTCTCTGCGGACACCAAGATGGCAGCTTTATAATACATATTAACTCTGGTATTGTTTTCTCTCCGGAGCTGTGCTGCGAAGATGAACAGCATCAGATTCCTTTCTCATTCAGACTTGGCAAACACATGAATTTTCAGTGACATAGAAAATACAATAGTTGCCTGTTACAACTGGTGGGAAAAGTGAATTTAAAGACAGAATGTGCCAGGGTACTCTGGACCTTTAAAATACAACCTGCCTCTTTTCAGGAGACTTCCTGCACCATGGAATGGTTTGTTTTTGCTACTTCTAAGGAGGAAACAAAAGCATGAATCTCATAACTTATTATAGCTGTTTCAGTATTATGTTTCATTCTTATGACTTTGTACCATTGGTGTGGGAACATCAGTCATGTGCTTCGCAGTGAACAGGAAAAGTTGCTGGTCATCTCAGGTTACGGAGAGAACAGAACCAGAATCCAGTTTGTGTCTACTGACCTTGAACTTGAGGGATCCATTTGGATCTCTTTTTCCTAAAAGGAGAAGTCTGAGGCTAGAAGGGTTAGCTCTCTGCTCTTCCAAACAGTCAAGGGAGGAGAGTTTAACCATCAGGTGTGAAGGATGCACCAGGAGTGACATTTGGTGATGCTATGATGCTTCTTTGAGAACACTGCAAATGGTTTCTTAGACTTATGTAAGTATAAATTGTAAAACATCATTTGACTCATTTGTGCTCTTTAGAGCTTTAAATGATTTTACAATCATTAATTGTAAAAAGACACTAATCAATAATGTGAAACAGATATATATATATATATATATATATATATATATATATATATATAGTCCCTTAAGCCAGTGTGAGTAGACTGTTATTTGAAAATATGCAAGTGTAAGAGAAATATAAAATTCCATGGTGAAATGTCAGGAAACTTATGACATGAAGCTAAATTATAAAAAATTATAAATATTCAGAAGATATTCCTCTTAATTTTTTAAACAGACTTTTAGCAATTGACTATGTTTAATGTGGTTATTTGCATTTTTGCACTGATAGTTGATCTGACAGACATAGTTAACATGTGGAAACCGGAGCACTGTAATTCTGACTGGATACCCAGCCTTTTTATCTGAACATAGATATTTCTACCCTGGATAGAGGGGCCAAATGATAAATAAAGAGAAATATTGAATTTCCAAAGTCTTTATCATAAGTCTATTTCTTCACTTTTCCATCAGAATCATTGTTTTCCCACCTGAAATACTAGTTTATGCTGCCATGGCCTCTTGTGAACATGAAGGGAAATCAGAGATTCCTTTTAGTTTTAATAACTAGTTACCGAGTTAATCCAGCTAGGACTGAAAACTCTGCCTTGTGAGTTTCTGGATTCCTGGATTAAGCTTTAGATAAAGAGGGAGTGGTGGATACGGTTTCCCTCAGCTCCCACCTGAGTGCTCACGCCAATTAAGAAACGGCTATTCTTCTTATATGGTATAGAATAGAATATATACTACAATGATTATTTTAAATGCTTTTGGGAACCTCAAATGGATCTTAGAAAACACAATTTGTAAATAATATTATAACCCCAATTCATGGGTTAAGGTAGATACAAATCTGGCATATTAATAATATAACGGATATTATAATAATGGATATTAATGCAACTTGTGAGAGGAAAAAGCAACATCAGGCAAAGGGGAAAAGAAATATCTGCCCTTCTGTGTTGGGATAGATAGGAAAGGTCAACAAGATCAGAGCTAAGTGCAAAGCATGAGGCAAGATGCACAACTCTGTAAATAAGTATACTTTTCTGTTTTTCTCATAGAATGGCAGCAGCCTTCAAAGCATTTAAACCACAAAACCTCAAGTGTGCTGATTCTTGACTTTAGTCCTGTAAAAAGCCTGGCCTCGTTAAAGAGCAGCAGCGCCCTCCCATGAGCCAAGACTGTCCATCTCAACACAGCGTGTCAGAAAGCAAAGACGTTTTAGGGTTTGGGGAAAAGATTGCCTGACCCTACAGTTTGACTGCAGGTGTTTCTGCTGTGACAGACAGCAGCAATGCTGGGCTAGGGAGATGGCTCACTGGATAAAGCACTTGCCACACAAACATGAGAACTTGAACGTAAATCCCCAGAACCCACGTAAAACTGGGGTGCAGAGACTTCCTAGCCTATAGAGCCAGCACTTCTCCAGCATGTGGGAAGTGAAGGCAGGAGAATGTGAGGAAGCTCAGCCAGCTGACCTGGCATCGTATGGTGGGAATAAGCAAGCGACAACTCAAAGAAGTGGGAAGTAAGGACCAGTACGTCAAGTTATCTTCTGACCTCCACATGCACATCATGGCTCGTGCGAACCAGCATTGCATGCATGAACATGTATAAGACAAAGATTTCAAAAAATACCCACTAGCATCAGACTCACTGAGTTATGTAGAGAAAGATAAGAATCATTGCAGTTTAAATGGCATGTGCAAACAATCTTCAACAGCACTGAATTAAAACATTAGGTACAAATGGGATCAAAGAGGGGTGGCTTCTGAGCCTGTGGAAACAGCTGGACCTCACATGGCAACCGCTGTTGAGTGGCTGAACATTTATGATGATTTCCTAGGGAAACATAAACATATGGAACATAAACCTTGACCATTGTGCTTCAGAGCTGTACAAGGGTTTGTTAATAAGCACTTTCTGAAGGTCGTAAAGAAGGCGGTGGTTACAAACACTGTTTAGGTAGCCTCCTATTATCTGGTGTATATCACTGTCATTTATGTCCAGGTAACCAGTGTTTAAACTAGGACATCAGACTGTGGTCAAGCAAGTATAGAGGTTCCATATCCAGCACTACAAACAAAACAAAACAAAACTGGGGTGCTCTGTCAAGTTCTATGGTACCTCAACATACTCATTCAGTGGCGCTCAAACATTAGAGAGCTTGCTAAAACCCAGATAGCTGACCCATGCCCCCACTTAGAATTTCTGATTCAGCCTAAGAATTTACATCCCCGCCATGCTGTCCAGGTGATGCTGCTGCTACTATCAAAGTAAAGGACGTTCTGAAGCAGTGTTAAGTAAAAGCATCCAAGATCTATTTCTTCTTCTTCCCAACTGAAAACCAAGGCCTGGAGGTGAAGCCCCATGTTTAGCATGAACTATTCTCTTGGTTAAGACAGTTTACTCCTATGAATGATTGGAAAGTCCAACACTGACCTTGTCAATTTGACGTGCACAGTCACCTCGAGCACCCAGACGGATTAGGGTCAGGGCAGTGAAGATGCTCAGGGAAGAGAAGAATACATTTCCATTTCCTTGACTGCTATCCATCTCTCTGAATAAGTCGAAGCCAAATTCTGCATTTGCTGCAGCAAGGGAGGCCATTGTGAAACCAAGTGTTGCCTAGAGGTCAACAAAGAGTTAAATTATCTCAGAGCACATTTATTTGTTTGTATGTTTGTTTATTATTATTATTAATTCAAGCTTCATTTCTTCACCCTTGTGCGCAATCATCAAATAACTTGGGACAGAAAGAGATGATTCCTTAGGTCCTGCCTTCTTGCTTCTAATACTTTAAAACTTGCATGGCAACAATACAAAACACATTCATTTTCCTCAGCCTGACATATCAGGAAAACTGATCTCTCCTATTCACATTGTGAGCATAGTCCTGATTTTCCTTGGAGTACTCTATCCTCAATGGTCCTTGCTGACATGTTTTCAAGATGCAATTCATGTACTTACTCATTTTCATTTAGCCTCACATTTGTAAAGTGATGTAGATCAAAACTATGACTGACTACAAGGAATACTCCATCATCACACAGTCTGTTCAACACAGCCTTTATTTCCTAAATCATCCTTACTTTTACCACATCATTTCTTCACACTGTCTCCTTTATGGTCTCTATAATACTCATAGAGCCATTGTTCACCATGATGTTTTTCAGACCATCTTCATTTTAAACACAGTTCATCTTTGGTTTTCTAAATATATTTGCCTTTTGAAAGACCATTGTCTGATTTTTTAAAAAGAAAATGTAGTTATTGTTACAAGTATCATGACCATCCCTAAGACTTTGCAACACAGAGGTCTAGATTGTTTTAGAAAAGTCAGTTAGGCTACAGTAGCAAATATAGAATCAAGGATAAAACTGTCTTAGAATTCCCATGGCATTGTTGCTGCAATACAGGGCAGTGATACCACCCTGGAATTCCCCAGTTACCGACTCAACGTTTCTTTGAAGATTTTCTCCACAGTTTAGTAAGTCCAATGTCACAGGGGACCTGGCTCTGATGAAGTGAATTTGAATGGATGCTCTAAACTACTCTCCTTACTATTTCATCTGATACCTTGGCAGCTATTCAGGAGGTCCAACACATGTTGTTAATAGTTACATGAACTGGAACAGGTTTTTTACTCTTCTAAACTAACTTTTAGCTTATTCCATGAGATGATCTTTTATTGGAACTATAGTAGTGATATGCAATAGAAAAATCATGCATCTTTCTACCCCTTACTCTATAAAAGGAGAAAATTTTTATATCAAGTCATCAGGTTGAAGAAGCAGAAGTATGAGAGATAATGATGATCTCCAGGAAAAAGATACAAATAGCACAAAGGTATATTCTAAAATTGCCATTTTTTACAAGTTACATTCCAGGAACATAGAATAAGAAAATCAGTAAGACTGAACACACACTTTATTCCAAGAAAGAATATTTATGTTCTTTTTATAAATTATTTAGGAGGCTGGATGTAGTGGCTCAGGCCTTTAATTCCAGGACTCCAGAGGTGGAGACCTCTATGAATTCAAGACCACCCTGGTCTATACAGTGAACTCCAGACCAGCCAGGGATACACAGTGAGTCCCTATCTCAAAACAAACAAACAAACAAAAAAAAACACAGCAAAGTGTAGTTTAGAGAAGGAGAAAATGCAATTTAGAGCTGAAAGTGAAATTCAGTAGCCCAGAATACACAAGGCTCTGGGTTCTCTAGCAATGGTAAAATCAAAATCAGATAAAAACTACCCAGAAAATTACTAAATTAATTTCATATCATATCCAACTAATACAGGACAAAGAGCACTGGTGACTGCCATTAACACTACAAATAAAAGATTCCAGCAAAACATAAAAAGAAAAATACAAGTCAGGGCTCTGGATGGGTTCAGTAGTGGCGGGCCATCTTTGCTCACTGTGACACTGACAGTGTCTACGGTCCCCAAACCTTTTAGAGACTCAATTGTATTTTGACTGTGGAAAAGAGGACTACATCTATAGCTTGAATAATTAGGAACCAAATGAATAAAAACATGAAGCATAAAAATGGAACACGCACTGATGTTTTTCATTAAGCTTAGAAGCATCAGAATTTCATTACTTCCACAAGGACGATGTGTTTAGAACCTCTCTCTGCAGAAGAGTCTGTGTTGGTGGCAGAGACTCAGTGCACAGGAAAGGAATCACTCTTAGGAAGTACCCTGTCAGCAAAAGCACAGTAACCCATTTTAAATATCACAGGGGAATTGTGTCCATCGTCTGTTTTAACACACTGACACAGCGCGGCCTAGAACCATTAAAATGAAACTAAAGGGATTTTCAGGCCCATGGAGGTTATCCAGTAAAAGTATATCACAAGTTGAACCCCAATTCTGCCCATTTCTTTACAAATTGTGTCTTAGTAATTTACATTTTGGGGCTAAAAAATAATTTCTGACTTATCGACATTATTCTTCTTTACATTCCAAAACAATAAAAGCGTTTGTTTTCTAAACTTTAAGTCAACATGGTAACGTTTCATAAAATTGTCATGATATCAAAAAGAAAAGAAAAGAAAACTAACACGCGAATTTGCTCATTAAAAAAAATTAAGGTAACTATTTTCATCAGCTAAGATAGATTTCAGGACATAGAAATCATACTGATAAAAAGTTATTATGAAAAAAGATGAGCCAAGACATTCCTAGGCAATAATAAATCCTGAAGCTCTAACTTTTAACATGATGGATACCACTAAATTCATTCAATAACCATGCAAACAGGCTCACACATGTTGAAGATAAATTCAGAAAAATTCTACTTTGCATAACTGATTTTATTAACTTTCTCTATCTAAGATGCATTATATGTTCGGGAAATGAAAGCAAGATTCCCTCCTCTTCGTAGGTGAAGCCTGAATTCCACTGGCAGACAGACAACTTCGCTTAAGACTGATTCAGTGTCTTTATGCCTCAAAGTTCCAAATGCTGAGACATGAGTAAAAATTAGCATCAAAAAGAGTTTTCCTTTCTCCTATAATAACTTTGTAGTAACTTAAAAATAAATATCTAAAATGCCAATAAAATTCACTGTGTATAAAAAGAAAAGCACCAATGAGTAGCAAATGTTTGGCACTTAGTTACATAACCAAGGCAACTGTAAAGGAAAATAATCCAGGCTCAAGCTACGGAAGGTGTCCTGCAGTATCCCCCTGCTCACTGAGTTACAGAAGGTGTCCCTGCAGTATCCCCCAGCTCACTGAGTTACAGAAGGTGTCCTGCAGTATCCCCCAGCTCACTGAGGTACAGAAGGTGTCCTGCAGTATCCCCCTGCTCACTGAGGTACAGAAGGTGTCCTGCAGTATCCCCCAGCTCACTGAGTTACAGAAGGTGTCCCTGCAGTATCCCCCAGCTCACTGAGGTACAGAAGGTGTCCTGCAGTATCCCCCAGCTCACTGAGGTACAGAAGGTGTCCTGCAGTATCCCCCTGCTCACTGAGGTACAGAAGGTGTCCCTGCAGTATCCCCCTGCTCACTGAGGTACAGAAGGTGTCCTGCAGTATCCCCCTGCTCACTGAGGTACAGAAGGTGTCCTGCAGTATCCCCCTGCTCACTGAGGTACAGAAGGTGTCCTGCAGTATCCCCTAGCTCACTGAGGTACAGAAGGTGTCCTGCAGTATCCCCCAGCTCACTGAGGTACAGAAGGTGTCCTGCAGTATCCCCCAGCTCACTGAGGTACAGAAGGTGTCCTGAAGTATCACCCAGCTCACTGCTGTTGAGATAGTATAATGACAAACAAACAAACAAACAAAAAACACCTTTTCAATAATAAAAGAATTTGGCTAGGCAGAGGATTTTTTCTTTTAACCCCCAAATACCACATTTTTGTGTTTCTTGCACAGATATGTCAGCTTAGTATAAAACTACAAAATAATATGAAATAATTCATAATTTTAAAGTTAATAAAAAATAGAAACGTCTCATGTAATGTCTTAAATCCCAAATTTCAGACAAAAATCATAGCTACCTGAAAGCTACTCGGTCAACTGTGGAAGGTTTCAAAACTGGCGAAGTTTTCCTTTCCTCTTCCGGTGTCAACTTATTTGTGAAAAAAACAAAAGCAAAAACCCTAAAAGTACAGATATCACCAAAGCTTTGTTTTAATAATCTAGTTAAACTATCAAGAAAATGGTTTTAAAACGAATCATAAGCAAATCTAGGCATGAAACAACTTCAATAAACCATGGAATTAGAATGATTCTATTTCATGGTCCAATACTCGCATCTGATTGATAAAAAACATGGTTTAACTGTGCAGTAAAAGCATATGTAATCTTAGAGTAATTTTTATTATGCAAGAAAAAATAGTTGGTCTTATTAATTAATTATTGGAGGAAAGCTTTTATAATTACTGAATTAAAATTATATATTAGAACAAAATAGCTATTAAACAAATTTAATTTTTATTTCTTACCAGTACTCCAAATATTATATTACAAGACAATTGCTGCTCTAGCAGTATTCTCAAATCTTTCCATTTATTTTAAATTTTTTAAACTTTGATAAATTTATGACTCTCTCCCTTTTGATTGATTCTATTTTAAAGAACTGGTAAATTCTAGCATATGGTGATGTAAGTAGGAGCACTGGAAATACAAAATCTCCATTTGTATGTAATTCTCAATTTATCTATTCAAAGACTGAACATAAAATTTTAACTGATAGCTGATCTTTCACACTGTGGCAATTACTGTTCTCCACCATGCTAGTCAAAGTCTGTCAGGAGAAGCCATGAGCCAGAGAGAACTGAAGCACAGTTTGAAACCTTGATGCATTTAAAGTCTCACATACAGAAAAGTAGCCAAGATATTCTCTCTCTCTCTCTCTCTCTCTCTCTCTCTCTCTCTCTCTCTCTCTCTCTCTCTCTCTCTCTCTCTCTCTCTCTCCTAACTTTACACTGTGGACATTGGGAACATTTACCTTACTGTCTTCATAGAGGAAGCAGCAGCTGGTTGGGTGAGTCTGGAAGAGTTCCCTGCATTACTCTGAAATATAAAGCCTCTGACTCAGACACTCCCTTTTTCCTATTGTGATGACCACAATAGCTTAAAAATAATTCCACC